CCCCCCTCCCGACCGCGGACTTCGCCCCGGGGTTCCCTCGCGTTGACTACCTGGGCCGTCCCTTCGTGGAGCCGCCGCCGGGGCTGGTCCAGCAGGCCGACGGCCTGCGCGGCCGCCCCTGCGGCATCCCGCGCGCCCTCAAAGGCGTTTTTAAGGGCCCCGACCCGGGGGACGCCCCCGGGGTGCAGCTCGTCCGCTGGGCGCCTCCGGCCTACGGGCACCTCCTCTTCGCGGGGACGCTCCAGGGGGGGGTGGGGCTGTGGCAGAGCCAAACCCGCGGGTGGGTCGCGCGGTATGCGGCCCACGCAGGGCCGATTAAAAGCCTCGAGGTCTCCGCGGACGCCGCGACGATGTCGACGGCGGCGGTGGACGGGCGGGTCGTGCTCTGGGACGTCGAGGCGGGGGTTTGCCAGGGCGTCTTGACCAACCCGACCGCCCTCCCCGCCCTCCAACACTGCCACCACCCCTCTCACCCCGCTCACCTCCTCGTCGCGTTGGACCGCAAAGTCGCCCTGTACGACGTCCGCGCGAGTTTTTCGCGGGTGCAGCGGGAATACACGGGGCATCGGAGTGCGATCCTCCACCTCGGGCTCCTTCGTGACCCCGGCAAACTCCTCACGACCTCGGAGGATAAGACGCTGCGAACCTGGGACTTCCGCGTCGCCGTGCAGATCCGGCAGTTCGCCGACGCTGGGATGCACGCGATTACGCACGTCGTGGCCCACCCCCAGCAGCCCGAGCTCCTCGCCGCGCAGTCGTTGGATAACAAAGTCCTCCTTTTTAAGGATCTCGGCGGCGGCCGGCTAAGCCAACTCCGGCAGCGGGAATTTACCGGGCACAACATCTCAGGAACGCGCTGCCAGCTGGGGTTCAGCCGGGATGGGCGGTATCTTTCGAGTGGGGATTTGGAAGGAAATTTGTTCGTCTGGGACTGGGCCAATGGGAGGCTCGTCAAGTCGTTTAAGGCGCACGCGCAGATGCTCGTCTCGCACGCCTGGCATCCGCTTGAGTCGTCGAGGGTGGTGACCGCGGCGTGGGATGGCTGTATAAAGAACTGGGTCTAGTAGGATTAGCATGGTCCCGAAAAGTGGAAAAGGAGGAAACCGAAGGCGTTTGGAATCTCCCCTTTTCCTTCTTTCGACATGCATCATGATAAAGCCCATCGTTCTTTAATGTTGTAAGATAATCTCATAGATAGGCCTTTTACCTTTTATTGGTTAATGTGGGTGGTTGAATTTGATCTATGATCATGTTCTGTCAAATTAAATTCCATTTTCGAGTTTCCTCTTCACTCCACCACACAATCTTTTTTCCTCAATCGTTTGAGGTTGACATTTTAACCTTATAGCTGAAGTAATTTTATTATTATTAACCATTACCCGAGCAAGGCTATTGGTGTTCACTGACATCGTGCTTTGTAGCCCTAGATTTGATTCCATATTTTAAAAACTTGCCTATTTTGTACATTACCAATGTCAAACAACAGAAAAATCCAGGTAGACATCTACCGCTTATTGAAAAAAACAGCCGAGGGGCTGGAGTTCTACGAGGAGCTTTTTGACAAATTTGAGAACGCCCCGAACCTTACGATAAAGGAACGTCTAGAAGGGGAACTAAAAAAAGAAATCAAGAAACTCCAACGCCAGCGAGAGCAGATCAAAGCCTTCATCGCCAGCTCCGACGTCAAGGACACCAAACAACTCGAAATGTTTCGGAGGAAGATCGAGGCCAAGATGGAGACCTTTAAGATCTGCGAACGGGAGATGAAGACGAAGACCTTCAGCAAGGAAGGGCTCGCGCTGGCGGCGAACGACTGGACCGAGGCCCCCCTCGCGCAGACCGAGGCCTGGCTTAAAAACGCGATCGAGGAGGGACGAAAGAAGGTTGAGATTATGGAGTATGAATTTCAGAAGCAGCAGGGCGGGCTCACAAAGTCAGGACGACGGGCCCCGAGCAAAACCGGCGCGAAGTCGGAGCTTCAGATCCGCCTGGAGAAGCTCAACGTGCACATCTTTAAGTGGGAATCCCTCCTGCGGATGGTGAGCAATGAGGAGGCGAGCCTCGAGGAGGTCGACGCGCTGCGCGATAACGCCGAGAAGGTCCTGGAGGAGGACGCGGACCTCGAGTGCATCTCGAACATGGCGATGTACGGCAATTTCGACATCCCGGACCCGAAGCCGAAGCCCGTCACCGAGGACCCCGCCGAGGAGAAGACCGACGAGGAGCGAAAGGAGGCCCCGCTGCGGAGCAAATCGCGCTCGGCCCCGGAGCCCGCCGCCGGGAAGGCCGCGGGCTCGGCCTCGACGACGCCGAAACTCGCCATGGCGACCTCCCCGCTGCCCAACCCGGGGCTCGAGCGGGAAAAGGCCAAAAAAGCGCCTTCGGGCGGCCCCCCGGGGGGGCGAGCCCGCCGAAGGAGGACGACCTCGACTCGCCCTGGATGGACGAGCTGATCGACAACGCGAACGACGACACCTTCGGCGGCGACGCGATGGAGATCGCGGGGCCGGGGA